TATAATAAATATATAATATAAAATAAATTATAAATATATTAATATATATAGAATTATTAAAATAATTATAAATGAATTATTAAAATATGAATATAATTATAAAATATAATTATTTAGATTTTTTATAAAAAAAATTTTAATATTACATTTAATATTTTTTTTTTTATATTTTTAGAGAAAATTAAAATTAAAAATACTTACAAAAATTTACAATATTATAATAAATATACCATTTTTTCAGTATAATGTAAGATTAATTATGTCTATAGTAATTTTTTAATTAATTAATTAATATTTTTTTTTGTTAAAAATCTCATTAAAATTTTTTATTATTAGGTTAAAATAAAAAATACAGGACCTTTAATTCTAAATGGGCGAGCTGCACTTGCAGCTGGAAAGGATGATTACACATCTGATGAAGAAGAAGATGAACCACGCAGTCATAAGTTTAGAAGAAATACAGATAAAGCTGATACAATGAAAATTCTTCTTGAAAGTATGTGATGTTTTTATTATTGTATGTAATTTATATTTAAAGTTTTATTATATATTATATTTATTTTCTCTATTTGATTATTAAATACAAAGTAATAATATATTTATAAAATAGTTTTGGAGCTAAATTCTAAAGATCAAAAAAATAGAAAAAAATATTTAAATAGAAAATTTGGTATATAAAAATATTAGTTGAGACTTATAAGCAATTAAAGTTTAAAATTGAAGCAGAATTTGAGATCGCTCTGTTTCTGTTATATCGCATTCTATTTTCGTTTCACTTAACTTATTAAATAAATAAATTTTAATAGACATTTTTATATGTCAATTTTTATTTATTTTGGTCTCTATTTGATCTAATTGATCCAAAAGATGTCATACAAATAAGTATTATTAACATTCCATTATATATAATGTACATTACATTATTATAATGTACATTATATATCATTTATTAATATTTATATATATTTAAAACGTTTTAAAAAAATATTTTAATAAATATTATCTTATAATTATAAGGTGGTTGCATACCTGATGCTGCAATGATCCATGCAGCTAGAAAATGTAGACAAAAGGCAAGAGAATTAGGAACTGACTATATTCCTATAGAAGAACAAAGGTATTATTTTTTATAATATATTTAATAATATATGTAATTTATTTTTTAATTTAAATAAAATGTTATTTAATTTTATTAATTACTATTAGAATTAGATTTTATTTTGCAATATATTTTATAAATATATTAATTTTTAGTGATGATAAAGGGAAATCAAGACTTATTAGAGAAGAAGATCATGATAGAAGTGATGATGATGATTCGCAAGATCGAATTGATATGACTGTTAACACTGAAGCACGTGATAAAGAAAAAAGGCGAGAAGCATTTCTTGCATCACAAGTTCCTTTAAAACGTTAGTTTTTAATTATTTATTATTAATAATTTATTTGTATAATAAATGATTACATTGTATAATTTTTTTAGTTTCTGATGATGAAAGTGAACATGAAAATGAGGAAGAAGAATGGGAAGCTCAACAAATTAGAAAAGGTGTAACTGGTGCACAGGTAATTTTATAAATTTTATAATTTTATAAATTTTTTTATTTATAAATTATAATTAAATATTTATTTAATATTAATATTTGATTATTTATTTGATAATTATTACAATGATTGATATACGTTTATTTATTTTATTTTAGATATAAATGATAAAAAAAATTATATAATTATATTTTTAATATACAAAAATATTTAGATTGCAGCAGCACAACAAGATTCCATGATGCAACAACAATATTCAATGGGTATGAATGTAAATACAATGATGGGAAGTGGAATATCTTTGGAAATGGTAATGATGCCAGCCCCACCACCTCCTCCAGCAATTCAACCACCAGATCCTACAAAAATAATACCTATTACTCCTCAAGAAGTTGTGACTAAAATGCGTGCGAGGTGATGAAAATTGAATTAAAATTTTAATTGAAAAAATACAATAAATAACATATATATATTACAATGTATTTCATATACATTTTGAAAATTTTTATAATTTAAAATATTAGTTATTTTTAAAATTAGAGTGAATAATATAATTTGTAGATTGGACAGTTTAAAAGAAGTACATCGACGTCATCAATTAGATCAGGACCGTTTAGAGCAAGAGTTAGGACAAACTGTGAAAGAACTGGATGATGGTGAAATTCGTGCACCGCAGCTTGCGCAGCGCTTCAGATATTACCAAGAGTTGCGTGGGTATGTCACTGACTTGGTAGAGTGTCTTGATGAGAAGGTGGGTTTATACGCTGTCACGTTTTTTTATGTGCACTGGGGTTTTCCATGCAATTTTTGGCTGTCATTATTCAGCCATTAAAAATAATGCATTTTTCTTATTAAATAAATTACTTAATAAATAATTTTTAATATTGCTTTTTTTAAATATTTGAAAATATATAATAATTAATATAATTATATTAAATATATTTTATTAAAATATGATTAAACTTCTTATTTATTTTATTCTATTTTACATAATTTTACATATTTCATATAAATTTTATATTTATCTATTAATAGAATAATAATCATTAAATGTTTAGTTTTAATTTATATATATTCAAGTAAAGATATAATTTTTTTCAATAATTCAATAATAAATATTGAAGAAATTATTAAAAATTTGTTATATTGAAATATTAAAACATATTACAAATATATTTCTAATTTCATATATATTGCAAATATTATAAAACACTAAAAGAATTATTAAATAAAAAATAAATATTTTTATATTACTTCTTTTAGAATTTTTATTATTTTATTTTTCACTTATATTATTCGTGTACTTATTTTTTTTTTTATTATATA